AGATTGTTAATAGATCTTCCACCAATCCTGATGCCACAATTCTCTCAGCAGGACTAAATATGTGGTTCTCAGAAGGGCATAAGGCAGAGTTGAAGCAGCTGATGCTACAGAAGAGTTGTGAATGGGTGGGTCAGGCCACGAGCAACTCTCAACAGAATTCTAGCCTCAGCATCTGAAGTCAATTCCAAGGGAGAAGTAAAATGGTAGTGCCTCCACCTCCAGACCACTCACAGACCAGAAAATGGGCTACCCCATGCCGGGGCTCAAAGTCTCTTTTAAGAGTGATATGAACACGTTTCAGGTGATCACATCACGGCTCCACATCTGGAGATCCCCATTCCATTCCCAAAGACACTTCACTTCCTGTCTCCCATCACCTTGGCCAAGACAGTCCCCCAAAGTGGACCTCTAATCTCCTTCTGACTGGGTTTTCATCCCCCCAAGATGTAAATACAGCCTCATTCTTCAGCTGAGATCCCAACGAGGAGGCTCCATCCATCCCTGTGTGCACATCCACTCCCTCACACTCACACAGGGGAGACAATGCATCCTCAAACATTCATGATTTTGCCCAACATCCAAACTCAGAAGCTCAAGGACCCATACTTTTATTCAAACCGTTTTTAAGAGCCCATGATTCTTTCTCACTCTTAAAACTGTAACAAGCACGTGGTAGAGAAAATGCTAGTGGTGCAGTGGGTAACAGCAGGGAGTAACCAAAAAGTCAGTTGTTTGTGTCCACCAGATGCTCTAAAGTCTCCTCTAATAAAAGTTTACAAAGCCTTGGGGACCTGATGGTCTTCTAGTAGTCAGAACAGACTCATCAGAAGTGGGCTTGGGTTTGAGGTTTATAGAAGATACTTCTGACAAGTTTCCTGTAGAACTACATGTCCACTTAGAGAGCACTAGCAAGCTGCTATGCTTCCTCCTAGCTGTTTCCGCCCAGCCAGGTTTCCATCATTCTACCTATATTCTTAAGGGAGTTCTGGTGGTTTAGTGGTAAGACATTGCGTGATGACCCAATGTCACACAGTTGGAATCCACTAACTGCTCTGCAGGAGAATATCCACCATTCAATTCACTGCCTCTGAAAATCCACTAGATGGTAATGAGTCAGCTGCAGTGTAATGGTACACAACACCTATGTTCTTACTCCTCCAGCCCAGGAAGACACACTGCCCCCACCTTGGTTGATTGCGGGGATGTCCTTGTCCCAGGATTCCTGCGCCTTCTCTGGGGAGCTGGTACCACAGGTTCCTAGACAGTTAGAGGTTGAGGGTGCTCCAAGGATCAGACCTGGTCCAGACAAACAGGAGCAACACTCAAATGCCAGGAGTTGGGGGTGAGTGGGTGGGTGTCAGACTGAAAGACACAGCAAGGATTCTAGGAGGCTACCTGGCTCCTCAGCCTGACCTGGCATCAGGCTGAGACAAGTCCAAGGAAGGTATTCCCTTAGCAAAAGCCAACATTTGATTTTAAAAGGCAGCCCTTTGTTGAGCACAGGTGTGTGGTAGAGGATAGGGTGAGCAGGAGGGAGCAGTGAAAGATTTGAAGCTCCAAAGCTGACAGCAGAGGCAGCCTCAGACCCTGTTCAATTGTTCCCACGCTCAGCCCAGACTTCGGGACAGTGGCTTCAGCTTAGGCAAACTCTGGCCCATGCTGAGGCATCCACTCAAAGGGTCCTCTGGAATCTCAGTGGTTTCAGGAGCCCTAGCTACACCTCCTCAGCCCCCAGGGACTGCCTCTTGCCGTTTTTGAGACCATTAAAATCCATTATGATCCCCACAGGCTCCCCCCACATCCTCCTGGCTTCCCCTGGAACTCCAGACCACTCCAAATCTAAAACAGGAGGACAGGCAGCTTACCTGGAAGGTAGAGGAGAGCCAACATCCATGGCTTGAGGCCCATGACGTTCTCCATGGTCACCCACAGGCCCTTCAGCTAGCCAGTGGACTAGGCACCAGCAAGCCAGTCCAGCCGGAGGCTCGGGCCACCCCTTCTTAAATAGCAGTCCCTCCAGCCTCCTGGCTGCCTACAGAACCCACCAAACAGCTTTCACCTGCAGCCCCACCCACTCCTACCTGTATCTCCCACCCCTGCCCAGCCCAGGCCCCGGCCTTCTGAACAGACCTTAGTGGATTCCTTCCTGGCCAAAGTGAAGGGGGTGGTGAGAAGACACAGAGTCCAGGGCACAAGACTCCCAGAGACCCCCCACCTTAAGGTGCTATTCTTCTGAGAGCCTTCCCGCCAGAAGGGGGCAGAGGAGCATCACAGAAGGGCTGGCGTCGCACTGAGCGCTGGGGAGCACTGGGGAGACTTTCCTCCCTGCTGGCCACCTGAGCAAAAGCTAAGGAGACCCTCAGGTGCCAGAGCTTAACTCTGGAAGAAAGGGAAGATCATTACATGTTTTAGAACATTTTCTTGTAGTAAGCCTGCGGTCAACAGGCACTCACAGCTCAGTGAAACTACAGAGCTAAACACACCTGTGACCGTTCAGAGCTTTCCAGAAAAGTCCCTTGGGCTAGCCCCTCCCTCAGGCATTTCCCTTCCTGCCCACAGCCTTGTAAGATCAGCATTTATCCCCATCTTAGACACTTGGAAACTAACCCTTCTTACCTGTATCTCTCCTTACTTGTTCCCCTTGGTGTCTCAATGGGTCCCAACTCCTCAACCTGGTCATACAAGGGCCTCCTCTGGGTTAAGTAATGCAGGTAGAGTGTCTCGGTTCTGAGTGAAATTTGGGATCACACCCTCTGAATTTAACACCCAGTGAAAGGAAGCAACAGCCAAAGTCATAAACTAATTTTCCAAAATAAATGCTCAGCATTCCTGCTGAGCCTGGAATCATGTATTTCTCAAAAGAATCAGAAAAATGGGGAGAAATAACATGAAAATGTAGATGCTTCAGCCCCCAGGCAGGATGTTGATACTAAAATGCACCAAGACATATGAAGGCTTGAGGTCAGTTCACTTCACTGTGAGGTAGGCAGAGAGCAGTCATTACATGAAAGTGGACTACGGTAACCCTCCGTACAAGAGAACAATGCATGGCCTGATTTTGACTGATCCTGATCCTGTCTTCCCATGACTTCCTGCATTTCTAGTTCACCATTGCCCCTGCTGGACCACGACCTCACCAAACAAAATATCCTTCTCCAATTCAAATGTGTCAGGGACGAAAATGGCACAGGATAGGACAGGGTTCAGATCTGCTCAAGTCATATGCAACTTTCTGGCACCTAAACAAGTCCTTTGTTCTTCCTGATGATGTGTCCAGAGAAGCAGTCCCACAGCATTCTAGTGTGGTAATAACATTTACAAAGAGTAGTTTTCAGAAAACAAAGTCTGGGTTATCCCAGCAGCTCCTCTGGGAGCCAGCCACCATGGGCAACAATGCTAGTTAGAAATACTGGGCATAGCTTCCACCATCACAGCAACCCGTAACACAGTGGACAGACCCGATGAACTGACAAGTGGGTGGTTCACCTAATAAAAGATTGAGGTGTTTGACTTCCTACTAAGGAGGCACAGACAGACTTCCCACTGTGGGCAGTCCAGGCAGAATCTACCTTGCTCAGGGCCTGAGAAAGCCCTGACCACTATCCCAGATTTCACCATGAGTGTCAGTCTCCTTCTCTCTCCCCATCCTCTCCTCTCTCTCCCTCTCTCTTCTCTTTTTTCCCCCTCTTTCTCTCCTCCTTCTCTCTCAAAAACAAACAAACAAAAAGCCATCTGCACACACAGTTAGCAAGAGGAACAAGGCATTGTGGGGACAGGAAGAGCAGGTGAATGGAATGGAGGTACAGCCATGCCAGGCACAGGCCTCAGTCTAGTGTAGATCTAGGCAAAATGAGCATACACCTGGTAGAGATTCACACCTTTACACACCACATATCTGAGCACTTTCACTCCTGCAACTGTCAGTAGCTAACATTGCCCGAGTACCTAACACGTGTTGAGGTCCTCTCATGGAGTAGCACATAACATAACCTACAAGTCTGCAGTTTGTTCAACCAATCAGGAAGAAGATGGGCCCACTCCTCCCGTAAAAAGCACAGCCTCGGGAACCGGGTGGAGGATCGCAAAAAGTTAGGTATGATGTGCTAGGTGCTAGTATAAATTCTTTATATGGTTGGGGAGCTCTGGTGGCCTAGTGGCAAGAAGTTGCACTGCAATCCCAGAGGCGCACGGTTCGAATCCACCAGATGCTCTGCCGGGGAAGGAGGGACAATCTCCTCCTGTACCAGTCAGATCTGATTT